TGTGTGTGTGTGAGAGAGAGAGAGAGAGAGAGAGAGAGAGAGGAAGAGGTGGGCAGCTGAAGGCTAAGTTAGAAAGAGGAGAGTAAATTTGGGCTTTAAGAGTATATATATATAACGGGTAACGGGGATGGAGACAGGGCGGGGGCGGGGGCGGGGTTAAAGGTAAGTCCATCCCTGCATGGGTTTATACGGGTATCCCCATATACGTCCACCGTCCAATACGTATAGTCCATCCCCAGTCCAAACGAGACAGGTTTGGACAAATACCCATTTTTTCTTGGTCCACTGTCATCGCTAATCACAAACATAGAGAAGAGATAAAGGAATTTAAACATCAGGTTGTAGTGATGGTGAGAGGTGATGGGCAACAGTGGTAGTGGTAGGAAACGGTAATGGTTTTGACGGGTGGCAATTAACGTGGTGACGGCAAGGGCGACAACGATGTCGGTGTGGATGGTGGTGGTAGTGGTGGTGGTGGCGGTGACCTCGGTAATGGCAGTGGCGGAGGTAGTGGCGGTGATGGTGGCAGTGGTGGCAGCAATGGTGGTGGCGGTAGTGGCGTTGGTGGCGGTGCGACGGCAAGGGTGGTGGAGGTGGTGGCGACAGTGGTGGCAGTGGCGATGGTGGTGGTGGTGGTAATAGTAGTGATGGTGGTGGCGCTGGTGGTAGTGGCGCTGGTGGAGGCAACAACGGTGGCGGTGGCGGTAGTAAAGGTAGTGTTGGAGCGATTTCAAATACTATTTTTTAAAAAATATTTATGATAAATAATTTTTAAAAGTTCTTTTAAAAAGTTACTTCAAATACACCTTTATGGGCTTATTTTTCTTATTAAATTTAGGGTGTTAATATTAACTGTTAGATTAACTTTAAAGCAAAATTTAAAGCGATCTCAACCGCGAATAACAAAAATCATTTTGTTTATCTTTCGAAATTTGAATTGTAAACTACTTTATTATATAGATTGTAAATCGTATAAGTATTGAACGCTATAATTTTAGACACTAATTTGTGTTGTTGATTACCTGTGCCAATGTGCCAGATTACCAAACTTAACATTTATGTTTTATCTTT